TTTCCTTCACAGATGCTGCCAGACCTGCTGAGCTTTTCCAGCAACTTCATTTTTGTTAAAGAGTACAGCAATTGTTGACCAACAATTTGATTTGAAGATTAATCTTCATGAGTTTTAGGAGTTGTAATTTTGGCTGGATAGAATATTGTTTAAGGCAAAACAATATTTGTTTTACTTTTATTTTCATTACCTTTTTACAAACTTTGATGGCACACTTGGACAGTTGTCAGAGCACACACTGGTTAAAAACGATAGTCTATGCCCTGTCATGACTGAGATCAGATGACAGCCATCTACGTTGCCCTGGGATATAGAGGATGGCCAAAGCAGAGAGCCTGGAGTGCAGTGGGCATCCGTCGAGGATGCTGGCCAAGACTGAAAGTCTGAGTGGCCAAGGGTGGCAGGCTGACTGGAGAACATTTAGCTGCTAGCATTCACTCTGAGAGCCTGAGTGATGATCTTGGCTCACTGGGAGTGAATATGACGTCAGGACCTTCAACACCATAAGGTCAAGGTGGGGGTGCCAACTTTCTGCCCACCACTCCAAATGATTCGTCATGTATACGTGATGAGCTGAGAATTGAGTAATTGCCTGACAGAAGCTGAACCGACCTGACCAGAAGTGACACTCACATCCACACTAGAAGCAGGATTTAGCATTAATAACAGAACATTCTGTCACCTCCCTTGCAGGGTAGGGTTCGCATATTACATCACACCATTTTTTCTCCTTAGCGATCTTGGTGAAGAATAACATGATGTAAGTTTCAATCCCTACTGGCTAAGGCCCTATGTAAAATCAGCTGGTCAGTTTCAATGTAGCTTCTCTTGAACAGAAGCCATTGAACACCAAAATGCTCATAATTCTGCAATTTCAATTAAGCAGGCCATAAGGATAATCATTCATCTGGGAGTACTAATCTGTGTGGAAGGATTTCTGTTTCCCTGTAATAGACATAAACACCAAACAAAAATCATAATGCTTAAACAATATCTCACTAAAACCCTGATACTTTGATGAAATTTTCAAAATATAAAGTTTAATCTCAATGTGCGGGACAGCATTATCATTATATGGATTAAACGCTAAATTTATTTTCAGAAGCAAATACTTTCCTCCCTATTTTACCTGAGTAGCTTGCACCTTAGGACATTCTCCCCAGAGGGTGCACACAGTCCTCCATTACAATATCAGCAGTGGGATGGTTTACCAATGATTTCAGTGCTTCTCTCCATTTACAACTTCAATCAATATTGATCATAAACAGCAACTGTACTTTAGATTTCCTGTATTTAAGTGTAGAAATATTACTGCAATTCAAAGGATTGAAAACACACTTTATTGCCTAAATCATGGTTCCCTTCCACCCCGGGCTTAAGTGAGGGTCTGGTTCTACTGGCATCAACTCCTGTAACTCTCACAAATCATCATTTTTCATGAGCAAGCCACTGAGTGATCTTTGGCAGGCTAACAGCCTCTGGAAGCTATCAGAGACAGGTCAAACTCTTACCACCCAATTTTTAGAGTTGCATTTTCCAAAAGAAGTTACTAAATAGTGATGGGAACAGAGTTTAGCTCCCTCTACTCAGCCTAGGGATTTGATGTTCAATTACAGAATTCAGTCGCTTCTCCATCCAACAAGCAAACGGAGTCCAGTAGGTACTGTATTGCTGACTTGCTGCTACAGTTTGATATCTAATTCTTTGCTGTTTTTATCTACAAGATTACTGGGTACAGAGGTAGAGTAGAGGTTGGGATTGGGACTGAGGAGAGGAAAAAATATATGTCATATGCAGTGCTTTAACGAGAACCAATTTAGCAAAGGATAACTTCACAATCATTGATTCTTGAGTGCAGAGAGCAACAAGGCTGATGTAAGAATAATTGATCTTATATCAGAACATTTCAACAACTTGAAACATTCACTCTATTTTTCTCCACAGATGCTGCCAGATCTGCTGAACATTTAAATATTTTCTGCTTTTATTTCAGATTTCCGGCATCTACAGCATTTTGCTTTTCAATTAGCTATTAATTGAAATCTTCTTCCATTAAGTATTAAACAATTGCAATTGTTTAACAATCCAAATAGGAAGAACACATTTTAAACAATGAAGTATACCAGTTGAGATCACAACTGAACCCTTGTTCATATGTGTCCCTGGGATCACACTAAGTCCTGGCTCTTAATGTTACAGTCACTCATCAGCTCTTCAATGCTGAAGAAAAGGGCTTATTTCTCCAAGGTGACAGCAATTTGGTTTATTAAAATTCCAAGGACTCTCAAATACATTTTAATCTTTTAAAGTTTATCAGTAAATTATATAACTCTCGCCTCCTCTGAAATGCAATCCACTTTGGGGGGTGTTCTCAATTTTGAAATACATAATGCAATTCTGAACTTCTGGTTGATCATTGTAGCAATTTCAATATTGTGTCACTGTCTTTTGGCTCCAGGAGGTAACTAAAACTCAAATCTAATCTTTAAAATTTTCAAGTTTTTGAGATGGTCCAGTAGACCAAAAGTGTTAAATATTCTGGCCTACAAACTGTCAAGATGGAGGCTGAATCTCAGCATGGGATGTGAACTGAACCTAGCAAAGTGTAGCTCTGAGAGTAGGAAATAATAGGGCTTCCAACTCAACTTACATCATTGCACTCAACAGGATTCAGAGAAGAGGAATTCCTATCTACTGCACTGACTATATGAATACTTTGTGAAGATATTTTGAGGGAAAAGAAGGCAAGAAAGCTAATGAATTCAGACTGGGGTAATCAGTGAGGTCCAGATAATTTTACTGTCTAAGCAATCTTCAACAGTCTATTTGTGGATACAATTCACTTGGACAGTAAAAGAACTGAAACAGATTACTGATAAATGCAATAAATTTTGCTGGAAAAGACACATTTTGTCAAAATATTTGAAGAAAAGCACTGATATGTTAACAAGTGGACTCTGATTGATACAAGCACTGCCATGCATATTGCATTGATTAATGATAATTTACAGTTAATGACCAGGCTTTAAATTTAAACCTGGCATGTTTGGTCAAGGCATTGTGCTGAGAAATTAATCAGAGAATAGGCGTCACCTATTTTGCTGAGTTGAAACAGGTGCAGTGCCTGTACATGTTCTTCCTGCTTGAAAAGAACATTATGTTACAAATACGCATTGCGACATCTAACTGAATGGGAAGTTATTAGTCACAGATCTCCAGATGAGAAAATGCAAAGACATGCCGCACATAACTCTTCAGATATTCTAGATAAATGTTATTTGCAAAACCATGATAAGTGTAGAGAAAAGTTTGCTTGGTTGTTCTTTGATTAACATTCTACAAATTATTCCGAGACAGAACAATACTTGGAGCAATACTCACACTGCAAAGTGATCTGTTCTGATTTCTTTGACCAAGTTGAAGTAAAGGTTGACTGTTATGCAACAAACCCATGCCAGGGAACACCAGTCTGCATGTGAACAGGAAATGAGCCTAATGTTAGAAGATAAGTTGCACAAAAACACAGATTTAAAAGGATCCTTTTCCAACTTCAGGATTCCAAGGGATAGTGTCTCTCTCACACATCTTTCATATATCCAAAATTCAAATGCACTTTTAAACTAATGGTTGGAAAATTGTGCACAGCACTTATTTGAATTTCCACTATAACTGGCAGAATTGTTTTCCAAACAGGAACGTGAAGTTTGGAAAAGTATTTGTCTCGATTGCTCTAACAGACACAATTATTTCCATTCCTTCACAACTGCCAACTCAGCATCCTTTCTTGGCCAATCAATACTTCACTAAGGTGAACAAAGTTCTTGCTCAATCATCTGAATGTTTAATTTTAGAATTAATTTAGTCACGTTGGAGAAGTATTGGCTCAGAAATTCAAATCAGGGTTGGAAACCTGGGCCACGTTAGAAAATAAAAAATTGGGAATTGCTGGAGAAACTGAGGTCTGGCAGCACCTGTGGAGAGAAAGCAGCGTTAACGTTTTGGGTCGAGTCACCCATTTTTATCTGAATAGAAGATACCGACTTATGTTTAGACGACTGCTGCCCTGGAGGTTTCTGGACAGGAGTTTCCTGTGCAGGGATCCAGAAACTCAGAAGATCATCACAGAAACCAAGCCACCTTTTTCAGTACTGAGTGCTGAATTCTATAGTTTCAATGTCCAGCAGATACTTGGACAGCTACTGAGAGACAGCAAGAATGTAAAGTACATGGGGGGTTTGGATGTGAGTAGGGGCCAGGAGGATGTGGGTGAGGGACGCAGGGTGAGTGAGATTCCTGGTGGTAAAAGGGGGAGGATTGTAGGAAGTGGATGGGTGTGTGGGGTAGGTGGGCGGAGTGATTTTGAATCCAACCCAGGAGTTGTCAGATCCGATGGGATGGTGCTAAGTTGGGAGAGAGGGCGGATCAGGTCAGATTGGGTGTTGCATCTGGGGATTTCAGGGTTCAGCAGGGTGTAGTGAGTGAGTGATGGCGGTGTGTGGAGGGGTAACCAGCGGTGAATATCACATGTTCAGTTTGTACTTAAATGAAGAGTTAGAGCAAGTTTTTAATGTTAATGTTAATTTCCAGGAACAAGTTAGAATTTGGAATTCTCCAACTCTGAGGGACTTTTCTGAAAGGTTTCAGAGGCAGGGGAATGCCCATTGGAGATTTCAATTGCCCAGGCAATTCCCTCAGAGTCAGCTGCGACAGGACTTCAGCAAAGTTCCTTCTGGACTGCTCCAACAACTCTCTGACCACTGTAAGATCTGGGTTTATCTGCAGCAGAAGCACATAACTACCTTCGCTGCTTCACCTCATTTCAGAACAATACTGAACAGCCCATTCAAAAGTCCCTCTCGTCAGCATGTCTCTAACTTGCAGGGGTACAACTATCGTATTGAAGTTGTACGCGTACCAGTCAATTTGTTTTCTTTGTCAGACTTTGATCCTCCTCAGACACAAGCACATACATCCAACTTTCTGACACTGTAAAATATGCTCCCTTCTCTAATTTGTAAACCTAAATAGGTGCTGAATGAGCAGGGTTCCAAAGTATTCCATTTTATTTCCCAATATCTGCTGAGGTAAGGGTGAAATAAATTTGCATGCAATTGAATGAACTGTGCACATGTTCCTACAGAGTATCACTTGGAATGGTTTCCCCTTCCTGCTCCTACACCATCACTTCTGGTGTTCCTCCAAGCAACTATGCTGGGATGCACACCTACTCCTCGTCCAAGTGTTGCCCCTCACAGTGTCATCCAAAAGCACAACATTAGCTTTCACATGACACTGAAGACCCTCGATCTCTGTTTTACCAACAAAGCTCATCTGTCTCACCGTTTCTAAATTATTAGCCTGCTTATCTGATATCCAGTCATGGAGCAGCAGAAATTTCTTTCAATTATACAATAGGAAGACTGAAGTCACCGTTTTTGCTCTCCACTCCAAAATTTCCTGCCCTAACTACACATCTCAACTCTCCACCGACAATTGATTTTCTGTGACTAAAACAAACTGCTTGCAACCTCAGATAACAAGGTATGGAGCTGGATGAACGCAGCAGGGCAAGCAGCATCAGAGGAGCAGGAAGGCTGACGTTTCGGGCCTAGACCCTTCTTCAGAAATTCTGCAGAAATGCAACCTCAGGTGTTGTGTCTGCTTCAAGGATAAACTTCCAATTAAATGTCAGTGTCCTCCCTAAGATCACATTGTTTCTATCTTGGTTTCATCCAAATTAGCTCATATTCTGTAAACTTTAGTTCACGCCTTTATTTTAGTCTAGACTCAACTATTTCAACACACTCCTCCCACATTCTAACCAATGTAAACTTGAGGCCATCCATAACTCTGCTGTCCTTGTGTAAAGTTACACCTAGTCTTTCACCCTGACCACCTTCATGATTGATAGTCCATAGTGGATCCTGGTCAAGCAACATCTGGATTTTAAAATTCTGACCTTTCTTTTCAAATCACTACAGATTTTCGTTTCCACCTATTCCTGTTATCTGTTCAAGCCCCTCAACCCTCCAAGGTATCTCAAAATATTTAATTCTGGCCTTTGGAGCATTCCCAACCTTTTCACTTTACCACAGGTGGCAGCGTCTTCTGCTGCCTAGGCTTTAAGCTCTATAATTTCCTCCCTTCACTCCATCCTTGAAGACAGTTCTTAAAGTCGACATTTTAGACAAATCCTGTGGTCATGAAAATATGGTGTCATATTTTCTTTTACACTGCTCCTTGTATTGTCTTGGGTCATATATGTGTACTGTACTGCCTCAGGACATTTTAGAACATTAAGGGGCCATGTGATTACAAGTTGCTTTTTGCTTGGTTCCAGTTATGACCAGGTTGTCAGTTTAAATCCTATGCAGACTATGAGAGTGATGCTTCTCTTTTCAGTAGCAGCAGAGGGGGAATAATATTGCAGGACTCCACAGACAGCCTTAATGTTTACTAGCATATTTTCGCAATATGGTCATAAAAGTGAAGGCAAATACATATTATAGGAGAATAACAGGCCCACTTATACTTTTCTATTAAATAGAAAGTTTAATCACCCTCTTTTTCAGGTTAAGATGATCATTTCTTCCCAGAACAGTACAAATACACACAAAAGACATTGTGGAGCCAATAATGATAATACAGAAAGATTGCTAGTACACTGCTCTGAGTACTCGGTGTGCTTGCAAAGTGTTAAACTACAAGGTCAGCTCATTTAAGTACATTTTCATTGTTTCCAGAACTCAGCAGTCAGCATCATAGGATTAAGAGTCAATAAATGGGGAGCTGGAAAAGCACAGCAGGTCAGACAGCATCGGTGTAGCAGGGAAATCAACATTTCCAGCCAAAATCCTTCTTGAGGACTGGGGAGAGGGAGGGTGGGCCAGAAATAAATAGAGAGGGTGGGACTGGAAGTAGGGTAGGTGGGATGGTGATAGGTGGATGCAGGCAGGGGTTATTGTGGTTGGTCAGTGGGAAGGGTGGATAATTAAGAATTAGAACTGCACTGTTAAAAAAGATTAGGTAACACAAATACG